TAAAAGTTAAGGTTTTAAAATCAAAATAACCTTGCCAAGTGATTCTGCCTAGTAAGCCTGACTTGGGCAGAAGTTCAGGAAAGATGTAATTACTTTTACTAATTAGCACTCCCACTTGCTCAATACCTGAAACTGGTTTTCATCTGGGCTAGAACACTCAGGCCCATGAGGTTTGTCATAACCATCTTAGCCTTTGGCTCTTCCTTTCCAGTAAAAAGAGTCAAATGTGATAGCCTAAGGTGAGGGCTTGCTTTGGGAAGTTCATCACAAAGAAATTACATAGGCAATTGGTTACTATCCATAATTATACTATGAATAGTTGAATCTATCTAATCTGCATATTTTTCTCTCAGAGCTGCCGCATGGCTGCCCAGGCTGCAGACTGTACAACTCTAGGAAAGGCAATTCATATAAACTAGAATACGAATAGTATCCCCAGGAGTTGTGCAATGAGCAACCCACACATCTGTACAGCGGAGCACTGTTTCTTGTCTCTTTCTGATGCTCAGGAAAGAGAACGTTTTTATTTGCCTTGACAGTAATAATCAGAAAAAGTCACCTCGAATCAGTCAAAGTGATTCTCTTTACCATTTTTTAAGTTTGATGACAGAAATGATTGGTGGTATAGTGGTTAAGAGATGGGCTGCTAACCAAAAAGTCTGGCAGTTCGAATCTACCAGCCACTCCTTGGAAACCCTATGGGGCAGTTCTACTCTGTCCTACAGGGTAGCTATGAGTGGAATTGACTCAAGGGCAGTGAGTTATATTTGGGTTATGATTGGGATTTAAATTCAGGGATTTAGGATCCAGTGTCCAACTTTGTATTATTATGCTTTATTGCATTCTACACAGAATTTAAAAAGATCATATGAGCTTATCCAAGGATATTTGCTTTCCTTAGCATCTCTATCGTGATGCAAGGTTTAACTTTCTAAATTAATTGAGTTTACTCTAAAATACTAGTTATTAAAAATTAAATTGTACTAGATTAAATAATAATCCCTAGGTAATTAAACATATCTTATTTTGTTCAATTAAGGAATTTGCTTTGATGAATAATGTTTTCAGTCTTTTTATTTTAAAACTAAAAAGTCAATATATATAGAAAGCTATGAAAAATAAATGGCTCTTTTGTTTTCCTGAAACCTATTAATATAATTTATTCATCAAACAGGTACTGAATGTCCTCTTTGATCTGACATGTAAGCATTGTATCCAACCAATTAGGAATAATACCATCAACTTGTATATATTCTGTACATTTCTTCCAAAAAAAAAATTAATAAATATAAAATCATGTTTAAAACTTGTAATGATTTCTTTGAATTACCTAATTCATTCTGCCAATTTCCCAGAGGGGTGTGGGTGAGATCCACTCTTATTCCCTGTCTTAGTCATCTAGTGGTGCTATAACAAAAATACCACAAGTGGATGGCTTTAACAAAGAGAAATTTATTCTCTCACAGTCTAGTAAGCTACAAGTTCAAATTCAGGGCATCAGCTCCAGGAGAAGGCTTTCTCTGTCAGCTCTGGAGGAAGGTCCTTGTCATCAGTCTTCCCCTGGACTAGGAGCTTCTCCATGCAGGAACTCCAGGTCCAAAGGACACACTCTGCTTCCAGCACTGCTTTCTTGGTGGTATGAAGTTCCCATGTGTCTCTTCTCGCTTCTCTCTTTTATATTTCAAAAGAGATTGGCTTCAGACTATCCAATCTTGTATACCTCATCAGTATGACTGCTGCTAGTCCATCTTATTACATTATAGTCATAGAGTTTACAACACATAAGGAAATCACATCAGATTACAAAATGGTACACAATCATACAATACTAGGAATCATGACCCAGCCAAGTTGACAGATATTTTTGGGGGACACGATTCAATCCATGACATTCCCACTCTTATCCCCATCCTAGAGATGAGAAGAGTGGCTGTGACTTGGTCCAGGATCAGCTCCCTGGATCTTGTCCAGGGTCTAAAGTTCTGTCCCTCCTCACACTACAGTTTGAGGTAACTCTAAACAAAACCTTGGCAAAACTTGGTAAAATAGAAGTTATTATTACAAAAAAAATTTATTTTTTTAAAATCTAGTCATCCATATCCTCAAAACATATTTATTGGGTATCTACTATATTTAGGGAGCCCTGGTTGTGCAGTGGTTAAGACCTATGGCTGCTAACCAAAAGGTCAGAAGTTCAAATCCACTGGCTGCTCCTTGGAAACCCTCTGGGGCAGTTCTGCTCTGTCCTATAGGGTCACTATGAGTTGGAATCCACTGGACCACAACGGGTTTGATTTAACGGATTTTACTATATTTAGTAGCAACCTTAATGATACTATTATACACATCATTAGAAAATAGTGACTATGGAGATCAAATTACTTTATCTTATATGCTATTAATTTGCTAATCTGACTGTTTTCATGTAATACTTCTAATTCCTAGCTATACCAAAGTGTTCAGGCCATGCTAATAACCAAAATTATAAAAATAACCGGGAAACAGGAGGAAGAAAGAAACGTACGGGAAGTCTCAAAATCCAAACCATCCATTGCCATCGAGTTGATTCCGACTCATAGCGACCCTATAGGACAGAGGAGAACTGTCCCATAGGGTTTCCAAGGAGCCCCTGGTGGATTCAAATTGCCAGTCGTTTGGTTATCAGTCGAACTCTTAACCACTACACCACCAAGTTTTCCTGTAACAGTATTATGAGTAATTATTAACTAAAATAATTAAGTTTTTAAAAATACTATTCTAAATAATGTAAAGATATGATTATTTATCTAAATACCTAAAAAAGGATCGCAATATACAGAAGTGCTTCTTATCAATAGCTCATGTTCTAGAAGCACAAAAAAAATCACATTTTCCCAATGTTCCCTAAAACTCGGGAACATTCTTGGTGGTATGGCTTTAAAAGATAGGATACGAAAGAGTAAAGATTTAAACTAAGTAACTTCTACAAGGGCTCTGATTCTATTTAAAAAAAAAAAAAAAGTTCTTTTTTTCTTTTTTTTGAATGAACAAGAAACAACTGTCTACCATGTTAATTCACCATAGTTTACGATTTTGTCCTTCCTTTGCTTCCCAGGAAAATAGAAACTGTGACTATTAGAAAAATCATTCTCTATGGGGCTAGTACAAACATGATTCATATTTTCTGGATGAGTCTTTCCAGTTTTCCTGTAGAGGGGAACATGTTTGGACTATTCTTCCCCTCACGCGCAGCCGAGCTGTTCTTATGAACTGAGAAAGGAGTACCAGTACAATTACTACATTGCTCTGGTCTTTTCTCCCAAGCATCTCATAGTATTGTTTAATAAGAGCAGCAAAGCTGTAAAATATTTTGAGACACGTTACAACCACCGGCAAGGGTTCTTTTTCACGCCAATTCAAATACACATCCTTTGGAATAAGGGTTTCAGCCGAAATTTTTAAGATAAATGGATCCCGACATCCTATGTCTGGCATAATTACCCCTTTGGCTCAGATTTGGAGGCTTATTTATTGCAACCTTTAAAAACAAACAATGTAATAAATCCACTTTTTTTTTCAGGAACAACCACAAGCTTTGGCCAGGTAGAAATCTAAATTGACCATCACATAACTTTCTTTACATCACTAATTTATTTGTATTTATTTATGCCAACCTTGATTAGAATCTACTGTAGTGGTGCTGTACACACTCCAGAGTCAAGCTGCAGGGCGTCAATTCTTGGCTCTACTAGGGCGTATAAAACCAAAATCAAACCAGTTGCTGTCAAGTCGATTCCAACTCATGGAGACTCCCATGTGTTTCAAAGTATGACTGCCTCCATAGGGTTTTCAGGACTGTGACTTTCAGAAGCAAATAGCCAGGCCTTTCTTATGAGGTGACTAGCTGGATTCAAATTACCAATTTTGGTTAAGCGGTACTTAACCGTTTGCACCACCCAGGGACTCCTACTAGGGCTGATAACTGGGGCAAAGTACTCATTCTGTCTGTATCTCCATTTCTTCATCCATAAAATAGAGATCATAATGATAGACTCTCCTTCAGATGGCTGTTTTAAGTATTAAATAAGGTAATAAGTATAAAGTGCTATGGGTAGCAACTGTTGTATAGAAACCACACAATAAACGTTAGCTACTACTATTACTCCTCTATTTTTTTTATCATGATTTCTTTTTCACAACGCTTTTTCTTACCAGATAATCTTCGGATCAGATATGTAGTGGTTCAGTCAATAGCTAATACCTGCTGAGGAATAGGTTGTAAGAAATAAAAATATAGAAGCACTGATTTGGAAAGTTTACAATTCTCTGAGCTTAGCAAAATAATGCACACAATACAATAAGAAATAAATCACGATAAACCATTATGGGCTAAATTGCGTGGTAGAGAATATGTACTGTACAAACTCACAAAAGGAGACATTAGTAAAGACAGCTTCACGGAGGTTGTTGGAACTTAAATTAATCTTAAAACTGGTTGTCATGGATTGAATTATGTCCTCCCAAAAACTGTGTTATCATTTTGGCTGGGCCATGATTCCTGGTATTGTGTGATTTTCCTATGGTTGTAAATCCTGCCTCTATGATGTTAATGAGAGGGGCTGGGCGGCAATTGTGTTAGTGAGGCTGGACTCAATCTACAGTATTGGATTGTGTCTTGAGGCAGTCTCTTTTGAGATATACAAGAGAGAAGCTAGCAGAGGGACAGGGGGACTTCATACCATCAAGAAAGCAGTGCCGGGTGCAAAGCATGTCCTTTGGACCCAAGGTCCCTACGAGGAGAAGCTCCTAGTCCCGGGGAAGATTGATGAGAAGGCCGACAGAGAGAGAAGCCTTCCACTGGAGATGATGCCCTGAATTTGGACTTTTAGCCTCCTTTACTGTGAAGAAATAAATTCTTCTTCATTAAAGCCATCCACTTGTGGTACTTCTGTTATAGCAGCACTAGGTAACTAAGACATTGGTGGAGGGAAAAAAGGAATGCATGCCAGGTAGAAAACAAGATGGAAAGTGATACAGATGTAGGTCTAGTATGTTCTTGATGAAGTGAAGACCCTACCCTACCTGACTCCATTTTACCCTCATCTAATTTTTTCATATCACTACAAAAATTAAGCTCAATATTTAAACTTAAATAATAATGTAGAAATTAACAGATCCATGAACCACAGCAAACAGTATTTGTGATTGGAGTAGCATATCCTCATCTTTATATTCTACTTCCTAAACTAGACTAGTTCCGTTCCACTCTCTCCACTTTTGCACAGCTAAAGAAAATGCTGTGCCCGGTAATTGCAGTTAACTAATACAGGACTGTCGACATAATCTTTAGATATTGTGATTTGCAGGCATTCTTTTGCTGGCCTTTGTACAAGGCAGCTGGGTGGTGATGGTTTTTAATAATCCCCTTTGGCATTTTCTGAAGCTTATGTATCACAGTGATGCTCACTGTTGTCTTCTAAAGCAAGGGCTTCCATAGCTTCTGGGAACTGTTTATAGAACAGCAAAATAAGAAATATCTGGTTGCTGCAACAAGCTGTTAGGCATAGTTTTGCAAAGTTCAATAGGTTCTTCTTTATATCATTAAAATTTTGTAGTTAGGTTAAAAAACTGGAAGAGCCCATTTATATTGAGAGTAGTTTTTCTTTTTTGGTAGGTCTTTGCCTTTTGACTACTGATTCTCCAAACTTACTTCTTTTGAAATAGGAACAATAAAATATAAACAACAATATTTTGAAATATGAACAACAGAATAATAATCAGCATTATCAGCTTTAAGTAATGCCTTATTTGAAGAATTAGAATTTAATTTGACTTTATTTGAATATCTACAGGTGGTCGTACTGGTTAATGGAGAGTTGCGTATACAGGTAAAGTATGAACAAAATCTTTGTAATTAAAAGGAATTTAGGTAAAAAAATGAAAACTGTTTAGAAAAATATATATTTACTTAATGTTTAAAATTATTTGATAATTTAACCATGAAAATATATAAAATTAAAATTCTAACAACTAACCCAACAATATTTAAACACTAATAATGTATAAATGGTATTACTGTAACTTATCTCATGCATTCTTGCTTCTTATGTTAAACCAATCAATAAGTTTTCATGAAGCAGGTCCTATTTGCCCAGGACAATTAGATATTGTGGAGTATACAAGGAAAATATAAAATATAATTGAATGCTAATATTAAGAATTTTACAACTCTGTAAATTTTTTCTATGTTTCCTCCTTGCTTGACAAGGTGTTGGGTAAAGCAAATTACACATCTAACCATCTTAGATAACCTTAAAACACAGAAGGTTCCTCAACCTAGGTGTCTATGATCAATATTTAAAGCAAACATTGCCAACAATGTGCGTAATAAAATGGAATCTTTTTCTATATAAGACAAACGGACAACATGAAGAAGATGAGACAGCGGTGCAACAAGCCAAAAGAAGGTATAAACGTGAATGGGTGAAATTTGCAACACCCTGCAGAGAAGGAGAAGACAACTCAAAAAGAAACCCAATTGCCAAAGTAAGTCATATCAGCAGGAGCAGTGTGAGTTTTTAGAATAAGTGTATTAGATGTAAACTAAAATAATATGGCAATTCCAATTAGCAAAGTGCAGACTCTACAGAACAAATGACCTGGTATCTTCAACCAAAAAAGTATAATAATAATAATATAAGAGAGAGAGAAGATGGAGGAACCATAATCTCTAGAATTATAAAAAAGAACTAAAAAAAGGTATAAACTGATTTCAATGTATAAGCCTTATTTGGATACAGATTCTAGGAAACAAATTGAAATAATTTATGTATACGACAATTAGAGACATGGTTGGGAGTAAAGATACAACAGGATTGGCCACGTATAGGTAAATGTTGAAGCTGGGTGATGGGATATAATCAAGCTCATTGTCTTATTCTCGCTACGTTTATATATGTTTGAAATTTTCCATATTAAAAAACTTAAAATTATGACAAAAAGCAATTCATTTCAGTACATATTTGGAACACCTAATATACAATCCCTCTCCCTTTTTTCTCTCCATTCCTTCTATTTAAACTAAAATAAACATCATTTTCAAAAAAAGTTGTCAGTTAAGCAAGTGAGCATTCAGAAGTATACTTGCAAACAGTAAGTGTTCTTGCCTTTCTCTCAGCCTTTTAACATCACCACAGTAGCCACAATCTGAGCAAATACGCTAAAGCCCAAAGCATATACATGCGTATTGGTACATGCTGGTCAGTAAAAGCAACAATTTGACTTTATTTCATATTTCTAACATCTATCAAGGCAAAAAAGTGAAGTTCACCAGTGTCAGAAAAATCAATCAAAATGAACAGATGATTTAAGACTATGGGAGTGGAGGACAGGAGGGCAAGGAGATAGGCTGAGTGACATTCATCATAACATTTTGGGTATTTTTGGCTGCAGATTACTTCAGATTTCCAGGCAACCCAGAAAATTACCTACAAAATTTCTGGGGTAGGAATTGACCAGCCCCCTTTGGGAATCTTCGTGATTGACAAAAATACTGGAGAAATTAACATAACAGCCATAGTTGATCGTGAGGAAACCCCAGGCTTCCTGGTAAGTTTGTGTCTTCAACACTGGGCCACCCTTCTCCTTGTGTGCCATGGCTCTGGAAGGTGACACGCCCCTACTGGTTAATTTAGAGGAGACATCAATATTTTAAATAACACGTGAATCAATCCACCTGCAAGTAACAATAATAGTCTCTCCACAAAGAGCCTCTCCTTATGGTTGGGCACCTAAAGGAATACATTGGGAGGGTGCATGAGTGGGCACTAGAGTCCAGCATGCAGTCTGCCAAGAGCTTCACCCTGGCATGAGACAGCATCAGCCTGGAGGAAAGGGCAACTTGCCCAGTTGGTCTACCCAAAACAGGTACTTTATCCTACTCTATCCATCCTTTGGGGAAACAGTTTTCTTCTTTGCACAAAGCTTCTGTATACGTCAGGAGAGGCCCAAATTTGCAAATTTTAATGTTGTTGTTGTTGTTAGCTGCCATTGAGTCGATTCCGACTCAGCGAACCTATGTACAACAGAATGAAACATTGCCCGGTCCTGCGCCATCCTCACAATCATTGCTATGCTTGAGCCCATTGTTGCAGCCAATGTGTCAATCCATCTTGTTGAGGGTCTTCCTCTTTTTCACTGACCCTCCACTTTACCAAGCATGATGTCCTTCTCCAGGGACTGTCCCTCCTGATAATATGTCCAAAGTATTGATAAAATGATAACATTTTAATACTAGGCGTACTAAATTTATAGGATAATACTTAATGTTTTTCCTCTTTTTCTAGATCACATGTCGAGCTCTAAATTACTTAGGCCAAGATGTAGAGAAACCACTTATATTAACAGTAAAAATTTTAGATATCAATGATAATGCTCCGGTATTTTCACAAAGCATTTTCACAGGTGAAATTGAAGAAAATAGTGCTTCAAGTAAGTCTTCTGCATTATCTACTATTTCCAAGTTTTATTTTTTATTTTTTTTCCAATACAGCTACCAATCTAGTACATCATTTTTATAAGCTAATTTATTCTCTTGGTTTCATCAGTAGTTTTTCAGAAAAAAAAAATCTTTAAGTTATCCTGGGAACTTAATTTCTAAAATTCGTAGATAAGCTAAGTATCCACTGCCACTATATTTCTAAGTTATGGTCCTGTTATCAGGTCAATAGTATCTTACTCTGTGCAAACAATTCACATGAATATCAAAGCAACACAAAGATCATGAGGCAGGTGTAGGTAGCCTGGATGCATAAGCTGGACTTTTTAGATTATAAGGGACAGAGACATACCCACATTACCTTGGATAATTTGGGAGAAGGGAGTAATAATAATAGAAGGTAGTCTCAACGTTAACATAGCCAAACCTTAGGGAGAAGTGGAAGATTTTTACGGAAAGCAACAAAGTTTCACCTGGTTGAGAGTGGCAGTAAGAGATATGGCAAGGGACACGTAGTGGGGTTTTTTTGGTTTGGTGTTGTGTAGGATTTTTGCTTTGTATTGTTTTCCAGCACACATATAGCTTTCAGATCTTAAAAAAGAAGAATCTGTTTGAAATTATATTGAATATTTAATGTGAACATAGTTTCAATCTTTACATAGTCTTTAATGAACTTCTTTTGTATTCCTAGACTCACTGGTGATGGTATTAAATGCCACAGATGCAGATGAACCAAACCATTTGAACTCTAAAATTGCCTTCAAAATCATCTCTCAGGAACCTGCAGGCCAACCCATGTTCCTCCTCAGCAGAAACACTGGGGAAGTCCGTACCGTGACCAGTTCTCTTGATCGGGAGGTAAAGTAAGGCACTGGGGAGCATTCAATAATAAAGAGTTTGACTGTAACAACGCAAAGAGAGATGGCTCAATTTTACTTGAGATTAAAAGGAGAAAGGAAAAGAGGCTCCCAGACCTCAACCGGGTCAATCTAGGGAAATGGTTTGCATTCGAATATGATTCTGGTTGGGTGGTGGATATATCTGGGACCTGCTCAATCAATTGTACTCTAAACAACAAACAAGTATCTGGGTACCAGTGGGAGTTAAAATGGGAAAAAAAGAAGGCACTGGCATACATGGACAAAGATTGAACATTGACTAATTGCTCATATGACAAAGGTAAAGGAAATTTCTTAGATGAAGGGAGAAATTTCTATCTGGAATCAATCTCAAGTCTTCTCTGATATCACACTTTTTCTTTGACTTCTTCTTTCAATTTTATCCCTGCTTCCAGAACACTAATGAATTCCTTTCCTCCCTCTTCCCTGTCATCCTACCACTACCACCTCCATCATCATGCGTTGCCCCGTCAGACTCCACCATCATGCGTTGCCCCGTCAAACTCCATCATCACGCATTGCCCTGTCCACCTCCATCATCACTCATTGCCCTGTCCACCTCCATCATCACGCGTTGCCCTGTCAGACTCCGTATTACTTTTGTTCAAAGGCTTTTCAGAAGAGACTAACAGGAAAGCTCTATACATGAGCTCCCATTAGATAAGCATCCCGTGACATTCCTCACCACTTTTTGCTCTAAATATACTGCCTTGTCATAAGAAACCCCCAAAAGAGAAAACCTATCCTGACCCATTAAAGACTTCCACCCAATAATCCAGAGTCCCACAAGCCTCCTCTATACTTCTGATGATGGACGACAAACAGTGCACATGATCTTTCCAGAACATGAACCATAAGACTGAATATTTTCACCTCACCACTAGTAGAAAAGCGGGTAATTGCCATTTGTATTCTTGACATGAGAGACTAATTATTTTTCTTTATTGTTTTCCTAATTTAGCAAGTTAGCAGTTATCATCTGATTGTGAGTGGTGCAGACAAAGATGGAGAAGGACTATCAACGCAATGTGAATGTAGGATTAAAGTGAAAGATGTCAATGATAATTTCCCAGTGCTTAAAGAATCTCAGGTACACCTTTCATACCTTGAAGAAGAATTTTTATAAATGTATATATTATTTGGAGTACCTGGGTGGCACTAATGGTTAAGTGTTGGACTACTAACCAAAAGGTTGGTGGTTCAAACCCCCCCAGAGGTGCCTCAGAAGTAAGTTCTATTGAACTGCTTTCGAAAGGTCACAGTCTTGAAAACCCTATGGGGTGTAGTTGTACTGTGCACACTTGGGGTTGCCATGAATCGGAATCAATTTGACAGCAACTAACAACAGCAACAATATATATTATTTAATACTTTACCTTCCTAATTCAGTTTTTGCCTGATTACTGGGTTTTATTTAGGTTCTCTGTATTTTTCTTAAAAAATTAAGAAAAATATAAGAAAACCAGAAAGAAGACAATACGTATCTTTTTTTTATTCTTTTTTTTTTTTATAACAGTATTTTACTGCATTTTTTGTAAAGGTTTACACAGCAGTTCAAGTTCCCATTCAACAACTTCTTCCCAACGTATGAATGTTCTCAATATTTCTGTTCTGGTTGTTCCATTTCCATTAATCTAGTTTCCCTGTCTCCTTACATTCTCGGCTTTTTTTAAAAGTAATTGTTGACCATTTGGTCTCATACAGATGATTTTTTAAAGGAGCACAGTACTCACAGATATTCTTTATTTTGTGGACAATATATATTTTGAGAAGTGATGATTAATACCATTTACAATAAATACAGTCCCTTAATATAAGATCTAACATTGAGTCTTGAATACTGCTTCTCTCTTTTTTAGTATTCAGCACGCATTGAAGAAAATACATTAAGTTCTGAATTACTTCGATTTCAAGTAATAGACTTGGATGAAGAGTTCACAGATAATTGGCATGCAGTATATTTCTTTACCTCTGGAAATGAAGGAAATTGGTTTGAAATACAAACTGATCCCAGAACTAATGAAGGCATCCTGAAGGTGATTAAGGTATGAACTGGTTTCACTTTAGTGATAAAAATATTCTACATTAACCAAATCTATAATTTCTAGAAATAAACTGTGTTTGTTTATTCATAATATTACCACTTCATTATAGGAAACTTGGAAAACACATACATTTTGTTAAAAATCACCTCATAGCCCCATTACTTAAAGACAACCTCTCTTAAAATCTTGGTTTACTTGCTTCCAAGCTTTCATACTTTCTATAGTGAATACGAGCATACGTATCTTGTAGATATTTACTTACATTCATATGTTTAAAGATGTGCACACTTTAAACACAAGAAAGTACAGCACATTTCTTTTTTTTTTTTTCTTTTTACTTAATCTCATTCACTCTCTACAATTGGATTGAAGTTAGGGAGAGATAAAATGCACAGAGCTGTTGCTTGTGAAATTGTCAGTCTGCTTTAGAGGAATTAGTTATAGTCACCAGAGGAGAAAAATACATTTTTTTTTTTTCCCAGAAAGTGGGAATTTAATATGAACTAAATCTGCAGGATAAAATATAATTGAGTAAAGCTTCCATTTAACATGCTTGGCTACACAGACTCCCCATGTGGGATTACTTAAAGATATTTATGCCTGGATACGGTGTAGACTAGAAGAAATAACCGTTATTTGGAAGCATTCCTTGGTGTAGGACATTGGACTATAGGGGAGTTTCTTTCTTTAATTCCTTGAGTCTAGTACAGTGACAATCTATTACATTCCCTTACATAGTGATTGCTGGATTCCTGGATTGCTGGGAGTTATATAGTCAGTTCTTATTATTCTACTTTTCAAAGAGAAGGTTACAGCCATCCTCACTTGTAAGGGTCTTGTTATAAACTCCCAGCAGATACCTTCCATCCGGTGGATTTATTCCTTATCTCATGTATTGGTGTTGTCTCGGTCATCTAGTGCTGCTCCAACAGAAATACCACTAGTGGATGGCTTTACAAAGAGAAATTTATTCTCTCACAGTCCAGTAGGCTACAAGTCCAAATTCAGGGTGTCAGCTCCAGGGGAACGCTTTCTCCGTTGGCTCTGGAGGAAGGTCTTTGTCATCAGTCTTCCTTTGGTCTGGGAGCTTCTCTGCGCAGGAACCTCAGGTCCAAAGGACACGTTCTGCTCCCGGCACTGCTTTCTTGATGGTATGAGGTTCCCAGGTGTCTCTGCTCGCTTCTCTCTTTTATGTCTTAAAAGAGATTGCAGTAAGACACTAATCTTGTCAACCTCATCAGTATAACCTCATCAGAGTGACAGAATTTATAACACATGAGGAGATCACATATAATCTTATCATAGTGGTAGAGTTTACAACACATAAGGAAATCACATCAGATAACACAATCATACAATACTGGGAATCATGATCTAGCCAAGTCGCTACCCACATTTTTGGGGGGACACAATTCAGTCCATGACAGGTGTCATCCAACATCCCAAACAAGGAACCTGGGCTTTATCTTTGAATCATGGCATTTCCTCACAACATACAGCCAGTCATCAAATTCTCTCCTAGAAATGGTCTTTGAAGTCTGATCCTCCTCCACCTTCTAACTGCTCATGCTCTATCCCGGCCTTGCCTCCCCTCTCCTGGAGGACCTCTGATTGATGTCCCTACTTCCAATCTCTACTTCAGTTTGTTCTCACTGTCACTGGTCCACCACCACACTTTTCTTAACTTGGATCAATCACTCTCCTCTTTATGACCCTCCCTGGTTCTTTATTGGCTACAAAAGTGGTGCTCAATCCTGACTGCCCATTTAAATCACCTGGAACTTTTCCTAAACAGTGGGAATGTATGAACTATTGATTCTGCTGGTCTATGGCAAAGCCCAGGCATCATTAAAGGTTCCTCAGGTGACTCTAATATGCAGTTAGGGTTAATAATCACCTGCCAGCCTATGAGATGAAGTTCACCCTCCTATGAATTGTATACAAAACCATTCACCATTTGCAGCTAGAACACTCTCTATCACATTAAATGTCCTTTCGCCTTTGCCCAGGTAACTCTTCATCTTCCTGCATAACTCAGCTCAAATCAAAATCTTTCTGAAGCTTTTACTAACTCTACCAAGCAGAAGTAATCACTAACTTTCACATATAAACACCATAATCTGTTTTGTCATTTACCCCTTGTATTATAATCACCTGTTTATGCATCTTTCTTTTCCATTCCACTGGGATACGCTTGAGCACACAAAGACTGTCGCTGCAAAGTTAAAATTCAAATCCAGATCTCTTGCCTGAATTTAATTTTAGTGACATACAAATGTAATCAAAATGAGCATTTCCTTATCTCATTACCCTCAAAAAAACTTACTAGTGAATGGAAAAAGCTATCCTGGGATTCCTCAGGCCTTCGTTAGGGCCACCTCAATATGAGGGTCAAACAAATAGTTACCATACAAGACCATCTGAAAGTGGTTTCACAAAGAATTGGTGCACCATCCACTCAATGCTTTGTAGATGCCTATCTGCCAACCAAGGTTATTAAGATAGTTTGCCTTTGCCACCTAAAAAATTTTAAAGTCAAGAAAGACATTATTGTACGTGTATCCAATGACTATTCTGTGAAAGATCACAGCTGCCATTTATTGGAATGTATTATGGGTTGGCAATTTGAACCTACATAGCAATGCCAAAGAAGAAAGGCCTGGTGATCTGCTTCCATAAAGATTACAGACAAGAAAACCCTATGGAGCAGTTCTACTCTGTAACACATGGGGTCGAAATGAGTTGGGATGGACTCAACAGCAACAGGTTGGGTATTATGGGTCTGAATTTGTTTGGTCCTCACAACAATCTGATGAGGCAAGTTTTTGTTGTTTTTTCTTTTCCAAAACCGGAAACTTGAGGATCAGAGAAATTGAAGACTGTGCCAGAAATTGAATCACACAGCTATTAAGTAGTAGAACTAGGATTCAAATTTATGACTATGAATTTGAGGTTTTTTCCACTGTACCACACAGTTTAAAGACACTAAAATGATATTTTGTTAGTCTAGAATGAGGTACCCTGTTTTGTAAGTAGCAATTACCAAATGGGGTCTCATCAATTAAGAATCCTAAAGCTTTCTCTATCTTGACTTTACAATGATTTATGAAGCTGTTTTATTACATAGAAATAAAAGGATCCATTTATAGCATCTAGCATAGAGTTCTTTCGCCTTCTTCTGGGTTTGCCAGTTTGTATTTTTGTGACCCTTCTGTCCTTCTAATTTTACTTTTACTCTAGGCTCTAGATTATGAACAACTACAAAATGTACAATTTGGTATCGCCGTCAAAAACAAAGCTGAATTTCACCAGTCAATAATTTCTCAGTATCGAGTCCAGTCAACCATGGTCACAATTCAGGTAGTAAATGTGAGAGAAGGACTTATATTCCGTCCCGCTTCGAAGACATTCACTGTGCAGAAAGGCATAAGTATTAAAAAATTGGTCAATTATGTCCTGGGAACGTATCAAGCCATCGATGAAGACACTGGGAAGGCTGCTTCATTTGTCAGGTAAGATGGTCTTTACATTTATTATTCCTTGACAGTTTTAATCCATAAGCTAGTACAAAATAATGCATAAACTATGACAAGCCAGGAATACAAAGAGAAACAAAGGCGGCCAAGACAAATAACTGGATAACTCAAGAAGAGACATGTAGTTAAATCATTAAAATATATTGTGCTGTAAGCTTGCATAACATAAGTTAAAGTGAAAACTAAGAGAAGATGCCTTAGCCTGTCTAGAGAGATCAGGAAAAAATTTCACAGAAACTTCCAATTGAGTCTCAAAAAAGAGTGGGCATTCACCATAAGCACATGGTTCAAGCAGATAGATGGCACAGCACATAAAAAGATATATATGCCTAAAACTGAAGAGTACTGTGCAAAGTAGTCGGCTATTATAAAGGGCAAGGATACGGTTATTATTTTACTTT